TCTGTTGTATTTATTTGGTGGATTGAAATAACGCGAGAACACCCGTCCCCCAACTAGTATGGTGGGGGCTCAGTACTACATGTAAACGAACAGTATTACTGTTAACAATAGATGATACAGAATTCACCCCAGCACCAGCAGACGCCAAGGACAACATCTGGTCTTTCTGAGGGACAAGCAAGCTGCAGGTCACTTGAAAACCCAGAACGGAGCAGGAAGTATCCCGCTGTGTTTTCTAGGGATTTCAATGCTTAACTTCGACGGTTCGAGTCTTTGAAAATTTGAGACTTGACAGATACGAGTCGCAATAATTTTCGAAGGGGCGTACCGAGCGATCGTTAGCGTACCTCCATTTATTTGAGAGCTGTCAGAGGGATCGTGTTGTACTTAGGCCCAAATTAACATGGATCTGGTTAGGGATTGGCTGAATGCAAATGAGAGAAACACCCAAATTTTAGGTTCAGCCAATCAGCAAAATTTCAGAGGAGAGGAATCCAGGCGTTCCCGGAACCGTCGGGACTTCTGCCTCTCCAGAACAGTCAGTCATTACAAGGCAATAAGAGTAGTCTGAACCCCAAACGCCCGCCTATCCATATCCCCACCTTTGTTTTCCCCGTTCCAAACTCGTGGATTTCACTCAAGTCCACTGGCGCCCATAAAAAATTCAAGTATTGAGAGCAATCCCACACCCTACCCTGAACCAGACAGCTACAAGGAAGCGGCGGATGAAAGTGCAGACCACAAAGGGGGGAACGTGGAGGACAGGTATAAGTGACGACCAACTCGAGAGGATTGAAGTCTCACTGAGCAGACGACAAGAGGAGGGCGGTAAAAAATCCACACTCAGGAAGCACTACCTTTCCCAGTGCTACAACATTATCCTCGAAATAATTAGGAATAAAGTGCATGCGAAGATTTTCGTTTCCATTATGAGACCTGCGATACGGAGGCTTGTTACGTGGCAAAAGTCATCGTTGGAACCTTGGAAATTGGCGGACCAGGTGAAGTGTTTCTGCTTACGAGTGAGGTGCTAGAATCTGTTAATCATTCCACAATCTGTAAACTCTTCGACAGATCGATGTTTCTACTGTGGCCAGAGGGTATACGACATGATGAGGTCTTGCTTTTTTTGACCCATTGTAAAAGCAGGCAAGTCAATAAAGTCGTTTTATCTCGTATATATTTCTATCTGCCTGACATTACTGACCATATGTACATTCAATATCTGAGAGAAGCAGTTCTTCCACCTATAAAAAAATGTGGGAATCTGCAAGCAGATCACCATTCTCATCCTTCACAAAGTTACTTCTAGGTTGGTAACCCCTCTTGAAGGACTTTGAATTTGACGTGGAATGACCTCATGCTTAACCATTGTTTTTTCTTGGGTGAAAATTTCATTTGTACTGTACATATGCGTTTGTATTTATATGACATATTCCTCATCCTACAGTTACTTTGACTAACTTTGGATCCAAAGAATGAAACACAATGTAATGTACCCAACTCTGGTCATAAGAGGATAGAGCTGGATATGTAACAATAGTTCGGCTTCGTACTCATCAGACTGACCGCGTTCGATTCCTGGCGCTACCAGGTTTTTTTTCGGTGAAGTAGTGGGTCTGGAACGGGGCCACTCAGCCTCGTGATGATAATTGAGGAACTAGTTGAAAGAAATGGTGGCTCCGGTCTAGAAAACCGAAATTAACGGCCGTGGGGATTCGTTGCGCTGACCACGCGACATCCTCTATCCGCAAAAGTTGGCACTAACTTCACCGACAAGCGGCGGTCGCTCGGTCAGTATAGTTCGCTTGCGGACTAAAATCACGGAGTTTTTTTTTTGTTCGTACCGATCCGACTACCGACGCTGGACAGGAGACTATTCTAGCACACATAGATAGCAATAAAGTTGGAATCGCATAGAAAATGGAGTTACATATCAAGAGTAGTGTGACTGTTCTTATCACGGACGACTTGCAAGGTACGCGCGAAGTGCAGCGACATCCATGCAGTCCAGCTCGGTCAAGCTTTTTTGGAAGAAGTAGAAAGAAATTGTTCCTGGCGTTCCCGCTGACATGGAGCTTCCGTCGTGCGACTTTTATGCGCTTTCCCCCGGCCACATTTACTAATCCGTGTGTTGCCCAAATGTAATGAAATGTTGAATACTCCGTGGCTGTGCTCACACTTTCATATACGTTTATGTCGTTATGCTACGTGTTTTCCTGCGACGGATGAAATTGTTAAAATTACGGATGTTGTGTTTAGGTTGGCAGTAGAATCTGACGGAATCGATAGTGATTAGCAGACATGGAAGCGAAGCATAAGTGTGAATATATAGTGCTTTTTATGATTCTGCAGCATTGTTGTGCTAGGATTCATAAATTGGATATAAAAGTATGTTTCGTAGTTTACTTATAGTTGTGTCTTTAAATGTGCAGGGTATAACTGAAACCTTCAGTAGGCGTGACCATAAATGCTGTTCCCGCACTGTATGTTTGATTTTACTTGACTGCGAAAGCCCCTTTATTGTTAGAAATATTTAATGCACTTTCTGTATGATTACAGAATGATGTCCGTAAATATATCGCTCTTAGTACATTTGGTTTCTACAAGGGTGGATTACTTGAAGTGAAACTTCGTAATTTTCGCCCTACTCCATACCATGAACTTGATGTGGTAAGTCGTGTAATGTATTCACATGCACATAATGAACCAACGAATGAGAACATTATTCTAACCTAAGCTCTTTTCACTTTCTGTGCACTACCACGCTGAATTTAATGTGGTTAACCATAGCAAATTTTTTACTTCTGACAGCTATAAAAGTGTTTCTTTTTGTACAATTAATTTTTCTTTCTCATATGTGTTACATACGAGAAAGTATTGCGATCTTGAAAAAGAACTTGATCACCAGATTTTGAACATTTCCTCTGATATGTGACCAGAGTGTTCCAGCTGGCATTACAGATGTATTCAGTGCAACAGTGTTGGGAGTGTCAGATTACACTAACATTACCAAAATATTGGATAACTGTAATTATGCATTTCCGGAACCATGTCATACACTTTTTTTCTTCTCTCTATATTGGGATTCCGATCCTGAAGTTTTGCTGTTGAGTTTTGATACACTCTGTATATGTATGAATGGTTTTTGTATATGCGTGAAACTTTGTCTCTGACATTAAGGGGGAACACTGACTGAGAATGTTTGGGAACAGGGTGCTGGGAAAATGTTTAGAGTAAAGAGGGATGAAGTGGTAGGAGGTTGGAGAAAAATGCATTATGAGGAGCTTAATAATTTGTAGTCTTTGCCAAATAAAATTAGAATGATATAGGAGGATGAGACAGGCAGGGCATGTAGCACACATCAGGGAGAAGAGGAATGCAAGTAGGATTTTGATGGTAATTCCTGAAGGAAAGTGATCATTAGGAAGACCTAGACATACATGGGAGGATAATATTAAAATATATATTAGAGGGATAGGCTACATGCATTAAATCACAAAGTTGCAGTGCACTCCTGTTACTATTATTACCAGTTTTAGTGGGGGGGGGATCACAATACTACTAACAGACCAAAAATTAAACACTTCCTTCTTTGACCCTGCTGGAGGGGGTTACCCCATTTTATACCAGTACTTGTTCTGATTGTTCAGGCACCCAGAAGTATACATTTTAATCCTACCTGGATTTTGAATAATCTCACACATCATCTGCCATGAAAGAGGTGAAAAGGAAGCAGTTGGAAACCTAGGAATAATTTTTTCTATAATAGCAATTGGATTACTAAGTTTAGGCCCACTCATGTATGTGTGTATGTATGTAGAGAAATAGGATGAGATGGTATAAGCTAGATTGATCTGGCTCAGGATAGGGACCAGTGGAGGTCTCTTGTGAACATGGCAATGAACCTTCAGGTCCCATAAAATGTTGGGAAATTCTTGAGTTAGCTGAGGAACTGATGGCTTCTTGGGAAGGTTTCAACTTCATGGAGCCAGTTACGTGTGTGAATAGATGTGCACCTTGCTAGAGCCAGAATGATTTTTGAAGATTTTATTTATATTTACTATTAAGAATTTATCCATCATAGGTCAATGCCTCATGTATACAAACATTCATATTCTGGAAATAAGGGTATTATAAATGGACCCCAAACAATAAAATAGCAATTTTGTTGAAAATGGCTGTTAATTATTTTGATTAAATTTAAGGAATTTAAGGTGCCCATGTACCTAAATAAAACTGCATAGGTAATTGGTATCTTCAGGAAAATTATGGTATATGCACAAGGGTCCCAAACACAAAGTGCTGAGTTTGTCAAAGTTGGCTTTACTAGCCAGATGGATTTATTCGTATTTGTTTTTTGGTACTAAATAACCAGAAATATTCTGATCTGTCAATTAGTAGTGGATTTTGTGGGATTTGAGGTTCTCACAGCAGTGGTTTTGAAGAGTACTGTCGTCTGGGATATACATCGTGTAGTCCATTGAAAGTCAACTAACATTTTGGAGGAACATAACACCTCCATCTTCAGGGTTGGGCTCAGCTTTCCATCTGATTTAATGCTGGTTTCTTGCTCAGCATATTCTTTGACCCAGAAGATGGAAGCTAAATGTTTCTTTGAAACATTGGTTGACTTTCAGCAGACCACAGGGTTTTATATCCCAGAAGATAGTACTTTTCAACAGTCTGTTTTGTTCTAAAGGTAATATAGTCAGTTTCAATTGTATATAGGAAAGTATGTGCACTATTTATGTGCTAATTTTTCTTTAACTAGTGACTACTAGTACTGAAGGAATCATTTGCAGTTCAGAGATGTCATATATACAGCAAGCTTGAACTACTGGTTAATTGGTTAGTAGTTTGCAGAACCATCCGCCCCCCCCCACAGAAAATGTATATGAAATAGTGTTAAATCAAAATAAACAGTGAGTGTGATATGTCATTCAGACTTCAGCGATACATGATCATACATTTCTGCATGACAATTGGGAAAGTTTCTCATTTGTAATTTGGTAATATTGCTTATTCAATTAATTTTGATGACATCACTGATAGAAATGTAAACGTATATATTAATTTATAATATGTCTTTTAAAAAATGTACAGATAGTTACATGCCTGGGCATAATAGCATTCAGTAAGGAAACGGAAAGTTTCTCATGAAGCTTAATTTTGTTTTGGGAGATAAATTATTAATTTAAACCAATTTTTAATTTTTCTATGTATTTTATGACACTTCTGTTCCTCAGAAAACCCATTGCTGTTTTACTAGTCAGTGAATCACAAAAGGTTGAGAACTCCTGATGTGTAGCACACCATTTGATGAGGTTTATGTGGCATAGTTTATAAGTAGTATTTATGCTGTTACATATGGCCACGCCATAGCTCAAGCGGTTAGTTGCTGGCTTCCTGGGTTCGATCCCGGGTCTGGTCAAGTGGGATTTCTGGTGGACAAATGGGCGCTGGGGTGGGTTTTCTCTGAGTACTTCGGTTTCCCCTGCCAATCTTCATTCCACCAAATTCTCCATCGTAATCACCCGGGGTAGGTACAGTAGGCCAATGAGTGGCCTCTGTGCCCAGTGGACCCAGCTGGACTCCACCCCCGACTAGCGAAAAAGAAATTATGCTGTTACATTCTGGAATTTAGAAAATGTAGTGTTTTATTTTATGCAGTTTGGATTCAGCCTGGATCGCACAAGGAATGATGCTGTGAATCCATACTTGGAGGACCATCAAGATGTATGTCTGCTTCAAGATTGGACTCATCCAAAGCCCAACAGTGAAACCATATATTTCCGGCTTAATCTGAAGAAGAAGTTGTAAGTAGCATGTTGAGCAAATGAAAATGCATACCTCCTCTATTTAGTATGAAAAATTCATTCTTCAGAATTACCACATTATTCCAAAATTCAGAAAACTAAGGAATCAGGTTCACCTGTATTTATACATGAATAAACTCTCCTAAGAATTAAGATGTGGCCCTAAAAGGGATAAGGAAAAAGAAGTTGGCAGAATAGACAAATATAGTAATTTTTGCTCTTTAGACTATAATTATACTTAATGTGTCACATTATTCAACCAAATTTTTTGCAGTTCATCCCAAAAATTCACTAAAGTAAGATAAATATCTCATAAATAGATTAAGACTGGGAAGTGTATATGGACACACACCTGTCTGTGATCTTTTTAATTCAGGTTTCTTAACATTTTAGGTTTGAAGTGAAATAACACTATGTTGTATTTTAGCAGCCTGTTGCACTCATTGTCATCCATGATATGTATACAGTTGCCATCTTGTAGTGCACTCAATTTCACCTGTTACTTCACGACATGTTTCGGCAACATAGTGCCATCATTAGGTGCCCTAATTACGCTAATCTATTTCATTGCTTGCCTTTATAAAATTATTTAAAAAGTATTTAAAAAGTGCGCATTTGTCAAATATAATAACACACACTAAAACTTGTTAAGATTATTCATCTTATGTGTCATAATTAAAACTTGCTTGTGGTTCTTCCACTATGGGGGTCGTTTTTCTTATATNCCTAATGATGGCACTTTGTTGCCGAAACATGTCGTGAAGTAACAGGTGAAATTGAGTGCACTACAAGACGGCAACTGTATACATATCATGGATGAAATAACACTTATTTTATATATGAGGGTCATACTGAAAGTCATGAGCAACAATTATTTGTAAAGTAATATGCTGTATTATTGACAAACCAAATACACCACCTCAATCTACAGACCTTTCTTTATTTTTCCACATATTCGCCACTTCTTTGCACACATTTCTCCCAGCATTCTGGGAATTTGAAAATTCCCTTTCTGTAAAGTTCTGTTCCAGCCATCCGAAGACACTGACACACCACTTTCTGAATTGCCTCCCTCGTCTCAAAACGTTGTCCATGCAGCTGATCCCCGTCACAAATCCGAAAAGATGGTAGTCGGAGGGTGCTATAAGCGGGGTGTGGAAGAACTTCCCACCCAATCTTTGCAGTTGCTTCCAATGTGAGGTGAGCGGCGTGGGGGTGAGTGTTGTCATGCAGGATGACGATGTTTCATCCCGGACATTTATTGTGCAATGCACGACGGAGCTTGTGCACCGTCTGGACATAACGAGCAGCATTGATGGTTTGCCCAGATTGCAGGAATTTGGTCAGAATAAACCCCTCTGCATCCCAGAAGACTGTGCCCATCACCTTCGCAGCTGATGGCACTGTCTTTGCTTCTTTTTTGATGGAGAATGCAAATGGTGCCATTCCATACTCTGCCATTTCGTTTCAGGCTTGAAATGGTGAAACCAGCTTTTGTCACCTGTCAGAATACAGAGCAAAAAATCATTGCCTTCATGTCTATGTCTCTGCAGTAGTTCTGAGGTGATGGCTTTTCACTGACCTTTGTGGTCTTCGGTCAATAACCGCGGGACCCAACGAGTACAAACTTTCCTATAGCCCAAGCTTTCAATCATCTCCTGTACTGCAATATGCCCTATTCCAAGTTTTCGGGCTATTGTATCCACAGTCACATGCCTGTCATCTTGAATGATCTCATCCAGTCTTTCCCTGTTGCATTCAGTTTAGGCTGTTCTAGGATGACTGCTCCAAGGCTCATCTTCGATGCTGGTGTTCCCATCTTTGAACACTGCTCACACCCATGCACACACTTCCATAAGCACGCTGAAATCTCTGGTGAATTTCTGCAGCAGGGATTTCCTCTTTCACAAGAAATTCGATGACAGCACGCTGGCGAAATGACATCGTTGTCGGCCATTTTGTTAGGAGTGATACTGGTCACGTGATGCAAGCTATTGATGTCACAAGACACTCAAGGTAAACACAACAGCTGGTTCTACCTACCACTGTTCCCAGGTTGCATGCAAAAAGAAGTTGCTCATGACTTTTGGTACGACCTACTTATTTTGATTTTATTGCACGAAAATCAGAGTGAATATTCAGAATGGAATGTGAGAATGACGTTTGTAGTGGGTTGTGTGGGTTCAGCTACATCAAGGAATTAGCTTGTGTTAGTATAATTTTCCCTTGTAAAATCATTATAAGCTGAATGTTCCTAATGTAACTGGTGACATGAAAACTGCTTAACAGAAACAGGCCATTCAACTGGTGCTGTCAGTGAGGAATTTTTTACATAAAAATATCTTGGTGAAGTAACAGGTTGTAGAGTTTTTGACCATAAATGAGGTGATGAGATAATCAGAGGCATTCAAGAAGCATCATTACATATTTCTATCTCATTTTGGAGCTCTAGAGGACAACAGAATAGTGAACGAGATGCCTGTTCGTATGAATTTGAAAGACATTAGTTCTCTGGCATGTAGACCCATTTCTAAGCAGTGACTCTGCGAACAGTGACAATTTCTGGGCAATTGCAAGGTAAGCACATTCCAGTTTCTAGGCAGCAGATTCTAAATTATGCAACAATTGAACTGCAACAATGGTAGCGGGGTGTTTCTATGTCATCCATGCCGAGATATTATAAGCAAAGGACAAAGTCAGTTTAGTGCAGTTCTGTATGGGAGGCTGGAAAGAGAAGACTTTCTGTGTGATATTTGGAGTGTGTGGTACAATGAGACTGTTGTAGTTTCTATGTTAAAATCTGTTGCCAGGAAATGGCTAGTAGAGACTGTAATAGACTGAGGACATTAGTTTGTGTGTGTGTTAACGATCTCTTAAAGTGTAGTAATGAGTCGTGAGTGTGTAAGTGGTCAATAAATCTATTCATCAATCAAAAACCCGTCTATAGTCACACATACTACGTGACAGTGTTATCATGATGTAAAGTGACAGTGGGTTTCCATTTGCCCTACTGGCAACTTTCAGATGAGAAAGGTTAATGTGCAAATTGACCAGAGTGTTACCATTCTCACTGGCATGTCAGTTAAGTTACTTTGTCATGGCAGTAATTAGTGTGTCAGTTTATTCAGCCACTTTTACATCCTCCTAGTGCAGTAGCAAAGCAGGATGTATAAAACTTAAGTAGGACAGACTTTACTCTGTAACTGACATTGATTGCAAGTCTTGTACAGATAACAAACAGCCATACTGCTAGGAGGACTTTTAAGAGCATCCAGTGCTCTAGTAAATGAAGCAGTAGGTCAGTGAAAGTGTTGTTTGATGGTCACTCCCTTTAATTTAAACTAATGTAACCAAACTGTTATCAGCACTTCAGACATCTCCAATACCATTACTTCAAATTTTGTGGCACTTCATCACTGTTCACTTGAACACGTTTTCCCTGAAGTGGGGTGTCCGTGATTCAAAACTAACAGTAAATTAATGCTACTATTGCTGCAGCATTTAATTGCATGAACACTGCTTCTCCTTCTAATTGGCTTAACAATTTTATTGTCAGAAATAATTTCAGGATTCTCAGTTATAATTCTCTATATGCTTGTTCTAGAATACCACCTATAGGACCCTACAGGATCCCTCTAAGTAGTCAGAACTTGTATTGATGGAAATTTGACATATAAATGGATCATTGTTTATATAAAGTTCATATTGGTCTCACAATACAGGTTAAAGAATATGAAGGGAAGTAAAAGTAAAGTAAATAGAGGTATCCCTGTAACAGGCTGTGGAGGCCCGTAGGGTTGTGAGATGTTGAGGTTCCCACATTTTCTAGACAATGGGTTCATAGATGGCGGCAAGGTTGTCAGCCGTACGCACCAGCTGCCCTTTACCCCCAAGAATATTCCTGGTACTCATTTTTATTAGAGCCTGAGTTGACTCCAGGGCCATAGTGTGGATGGAAGGATTAGCTCAATTGAAAAAATCCAATGACTTCATCGGGACTTGAACCTGCGATCTTCAGGCTTGTAGCATACTGCCTCAACCAACTACGGTACTTCATGCCCCCACGAAGGGAAGTAGACGTTATAAATTCTTAATGTGAGGCAGGAGGCCCCCATCTTTTGTAATGCTGTATAAACCTGTTATTTGTAAAATATGCAATTCTCTTGTCATTCCTTCATTTATTTTCTTGGCTAGAAGGAATGTAATGTGCTGTTCATCTCATAAGCCATTTAGTAGTGTTAAGGACGTTTTCTTTTTTGTACTAAATCTGTTAAAGTTCAATGATCTCTTAGTAATAAATATAGGTGAGAGGTAACATGTATTCTTTAGCATTATTTGGTGAGAAAATTATAGTTCATTAAAATTATTCAAATAAACATAAAACATATTTTTCCTTTAAAGGTTACAGATAAATTGCAGTCATGATTTTCAATCAATTCAAATATCTAAAGATACTGAAGAGATGGCTGAAGTACGATCAAAAAGGGGCTATGCAGCATCCCGCTTCAGTGACGCATTTCTCGTACACCAGCATAGAAAGAAGAGACATGCTGAAGGAATTGGGGTTCGAGGTATGAACATAATAGATCTGGCATGAATTATGGGCACGTTTTGCTTCTTATGAAGCAAAATTTGATACCTATGTACCTTTCCTCACCCTTTTCACAGTGCCTGGTATTCAGTATATTTGGCATTAAGTATGTTTAAAATGAGGCTGTGCCATAGTTCAAGTGGTTAGTCACTGGCTTCCCACCGCGGCGGCCCAGGTTCGATCCCAGGTCTGGTCAAGAGGGATTTGTGGTGGACAGAGTGACGCTGGGGCGGGTTTCCTCTGAGTACTTCAGTTTCCCCTGCCAGTCTTCATTCCACCAACAGCAAATAGCAAATACTGTTATCATAATAATTGTCCTGGCGGTTTAAAACATTTAGCCTGGGGCCACATGAGCGCACAAAGTGCGTCCGCTGTAACGAACGTTGTGATGTCCGTTGTAGAAATAAACAAGAGAGGCTAATTGCTTTCTTCTGGCTCCTTTGCAGACAAAAAACTACATGCCACATTCTGCAACTGTGTGGTGTCCTCAGCAACATCCATCATATAAAGTACGAGGGTCGTACTGAAAGTCATGAGCAAAAATTTTTTGTAAAGTAACGTGCTTTATTATTGACAAACCAAACACACCACCTCAATCTACAGACCTTTCTTTATTTTTCCACATAATCGCCACTTCTTTGTACACATTTCTCCCAGTGTTCTGGGAATTTGAAAATTCCCCTTCTGTAAAATTCCATTCCAGCCATCCGAAGACACTGACGCACTGCTTTCTGAATTGCCTCCCTTGTCTCAAAACGTCGACACAGCTGATCCGTCACAAATCCGAAAAGATGATAGTCGGAGGGTGCCAGATCAGGGCTATAGGAGGGGTGTGGAAGAACTTCACACCCCATCTTTGCAGTTACTTCCAATGTGAGGCAAGCAGTGTGGGGGCGAGCGTTGTCATGCAGGATGATGATGTTTCGTCCTGGACGTTTATCGCGCAATGCATGACGGAGCTTGTGCAGCATCTGGATATAACGAGCAGCATTGATGGTTTGCCCAGGTTCCAGGAATTAGGCCAGAATAAATCCCTCTGCATCCCAGAAGACTGTACCCATCACCTTCGCAGCTGATGGCACTGTCTTTTCCTTCCTTTTTGATGAAGAATGCAAATGGTGCCATTCCATACTCTTCCGTTCCGTTCCGTTTCGTTTCAGGCTCGAAATGGTGAAACCAGCTTTCNACTCATCCAGTCTTTCCCTGTTGCATTCAGTTGAGGCTGTTCAAGGACGACTGCTCCAAGGCTCATCTTCGATGCTGGTGTTCCCATCTTAAAAATGTTTCACCCATCTTTGAACACTGCTCACACCCATGCACACACTTCCATAAGCACGCTGAAGTCTCTGGTGAATTTCTGCAGCAGGGATTTCCTCTTTCACAAGAAATTCGATGACAGCACGCTGCTGAAACAACATATCGTTGTTGGCCATTTTGTTAGGAGTGATACTGGTCACGTGATGCAAGCTATTGACATCACAAGACACTCAAGGTTAACACAACAGCTGGTTCCACCTACCACCCTACTCTCTTTTGTCTGCTGTTCCCAGGTTGCATGCAAAAAGAAGTTGCGTATGACTTTCGGTACGACCTACGTATGTTCGTTGCAACAGACGTGCTTCCTATGCTTGTGTGGTCCCAGCCTTAAGTCTGCTATTCTGTGTGTATTTCAGTGTGTTTCGATATCCTTAGTGGCTGCTATTCTTCCAAAAGCAGAAACAGGGATGTAACTTGAACAGCACTTGTGGTGATTCTGCTGGCTGCCAGCTAGCCAATACACGGCCAGCATTTCATCATTAACCATCTCACATCCATTTACATTCACTTGTTAGCATAAAAACGTATAGATCTAAAAAGTTTTAAGATTTATATGGGGTGTGTGGTCCAAAAAATATATGCACACTTTAGTGTGCAATATATCTGCTTAAATAGTTTATTGGTAATACAAATTCAGTACCCACGAAAGACAAAAAGGGATGGCTGTGACACATGTTGAGCTAGAACAAGTTTTCAGAGTGCCCACCATTAGCTTGTAGACACATCTGAGTTTGGCAGACTAATGCATGACCAGCTGTGGTCAAGGTGTCCATAGCGGCACAAGACATTTCAGTTTCTTCCCAAAACGTCTGCAGTGTTGGTGGTTTTCTGCAATATACCACATCCTTCAGGGACCCCCCACATGTAAATATTGTAATATGTTTTGCCACTGAAGATGCTGTTTGGATTGTTAATTCGTTTATTTAACAACCTACAGAGCGTATCTAAAATTAATTATAACACTGTTATGGGTTTACACAATTTACAAACCCTATACACTAATCAATTCATTCGGTCCTCAGTAGTCTTCATGTATTTATAACACAGGAGCTATACCAGTGTCACTGTATTACAAACTCCCAATAACTTCTCACACTATCGGTATGCTTCACGTTCACGATTCGCTCACTACAACTGAACTCTGTGACTGTTACAATTCAACTGACTCCTTAGGCAGTGCAGTTCTCTTATAAACCCTCAGCCAGACAATGGAAAGCGCCTCGCTTCCCTGTTGCCATGTCGCCTGTTTACGGGTGTTGCTGGGCAATGCCATTTAGAGTTGTTTCCTGCTGTGCAGTAACCACGGCATCCCCCGCCACATCACCGCGGCAATGGTTGCCTGACACAGCCACTCCTCTGCCATGTCACTGTGGGGAGGGGGGCAGAGTGTTGACTGGCCTGTTACCGTAGTAGCAACAGCGCTCTGATGCCGCCACGTCACCGCTGGTGGGGGAGGGGATGTCCTCCATAGCGCAATGCATCACAGTATCAAGGGGGGTTAAACCAGGCAAACGTGTGATAACATCTGACATCTTGGTGGTAGTATGGTGGTGCTCCAACTTGTTGAAAGTAAAATGGCTCATTTTCATGGAGCTGATGAATGGCAGGTAAAATGGATATAGAAAGCATGTTGAAGTACATAGGGCCAGTAACCGTTCTTTCAAAAAATAACACAAAAAGATCTTTGCTTGTGCATGCCATTAGCCTCAAATATTTCATGAATGCATGCAATTGTTAATCTTATTGGAAGTTCTATTGCAAATTCACGCTGTTACTGTATTTGTACTTAGGACACATTTTCGGATTTCCAGTGCCACTTCAAAATTATCTTGGATTGCTTGAACAGCAACTGTTCTGCCGTTCGGTAAGCTGGCTCTGGCATTCATGTGACTGGCATCATATTTTGAGGGATATCACACTACACACCATATATTACATTTCCATTTAACTTTGAAAATGTATGTAGATAACCTATGTTAAAGTGTGTATACATTTTCTTAGCCCTTCTCCCCCCCCCCTCATTTTTTTTCTTTTTCAGAGATTTACAGAAACTGCAATTTTTAGTTAAAAATAAAGAGTAAATATTTGAGATATGAGGTCCTCACAGCAGTGACTGTGAAGGTTACTGTCTTCTGGAATGTGGCACCATGTAGATTGGTAGTTAGGTACCAGTGTTTTGGAGGAACCTGATGCCTCCATCTTCAAGGTTGAATGAGATGGAAGTGGTAAGTTCCTCAAAAAGTATTAGTATGTGTCTACCAAATGATAGGCTTCTTCAAAGACAAGCAGTTTATTTCTGGTTTAAACAAGTATATTAATTACAGCATTCATAAAAGATTTGTTTCGATGTTGTTACTTTTTAGCCACTGTGGAGTGCATTTCATTCTTAACTTAGCAGGTCTGTAGGCACTGAAACATTTTGTGTGTGTAGATATTGTAATTTGTCACTCTCAGTTGATGGTGTCATTTTGAATTACATTTAACACATGATGTGAAGATCAGGTTATCCACAATTTACACATGTCCTTTAAGAGACGTAACAAAAATGTTCCTCACTGAATGTGGCTGGAGAGAATTTGTTAATGTAACTTTGAAGGAAATCCCTGAATTACAAGTGCTTGAGAGCAAGGAGCCTGGAGAAATCTTGGATCTACAAGGGATGAAGTAAGTGAGCAGTTTAAGTTGATACATAAAGAGAAACTTTGTGATTTATACAGATTACCTAATATTATTAAGGTAGTAAAATCGGGCTATGATGGACTAAACTTGTCGCTAGGATGTGAAAGACAAATAGTGCATATAAAAATTTGATGAAGAAACTTTATGCAAATGGCAACTTGGCATGTAAGAAAGAAAAAAGGGTGAAAGTAAAGTTTTCCCTGTACTTAATTAAGCACTATGCCCTGAAGACATATTGGGAAGTGGAGGTGTAGCTGCACCATTTTTGACCTTGACACTAGATGGAGGTGAGAGGTCAGGTTCATGCCGCAATTGCTTGTAAGAAGGAAATGGAAGGTTAAAATAAAAATGGTTCTTAAGGACTTGTGTTAGGAAAATGGGAGTGCTTAGATGTGACTGAGACTTGGGCCCGGTGGTAGGTTTTTGAACTGGCAGTGATAAATCGTAAGGTTCTGTTACTAGTGAGTTAGTAAAGCAAACACCACCCTGTTTTGGTCTTTCTTGCCACCACAAGAAACAAATGTTGAAATGTTCAGAGTGTCATGTATGGCTTTTGTGGTGCAGGGAATCTAAGTGTTACCAGACCAGTCCATGCAGGAAAAGGATGTCCAAAATTAGAGAAGCTGGAATTTCCCATTACTGAAAGAATTTCTGATGGAGTTAAATATTTCAATACTAATGTAAGTTGATCACCTCTTTACACAAAATGCTGTTTAAAGTTAGTCACATCATGTCTCGTGGATGTGAAAGATGTTACTTTTTTATAGTCCTGTATAAGATGGGTAAAATATATGAACTAGTTAGTTAATTAATAATATTGTCACCATCATCATTCACTGGTATTTATACCAGGAGTTTTTGCATTCTCTGTTCTGTAATGACTGTTTTTTTTGTCTGTATCTGCTCTTTCCTTGCTCTGCAGTGTAAGTGTGAATCTGTAAGTGTGGTGTACTGAACTTGCTAATGTCACTACAACCGTAAGTATACGCCATCATTTGGGAGTGAATTTTAGGTGTCTACTTATAGACAATACAAGATGTATCAAATTATGTGTCATTCTTGGCCCAGAGGTTTTTTGTGGGTTTCTTCAGTTCCACAAGGCAAATTCTGGCATAGGACTTTAACACATTGCGGACCGGTTGTTTAAATATTTAAATCACCCTGGGAACTGGGGTTTTTAAGCCTAGCACCCTAACTTGTGCACTGTTCACTTTAAAAATTAATATAAAATCTCCTAATTAATTTTATGAACTAAAATTTTTGGAGAACACTTACCAGAGCTCCTAGAAGTGCTTGCGCATGTGATATCTCTGGAAACATTCCCCTTTGTGAAGATTCATCATGCAGAATTTGCAGATGTACGCAGTCCTACTCTTCTTCTTGTCTACTGCGCACACACGGCACTGCCTGGAAGGGTACTTCTTACAATGTTCACTCTTCACAATTCTCACGAGGGTGTGTTTCCGCATATCACCCAAGAGTCATCCAGGGGGGTCCACATGAGGCCTCCGGCGGGTGCGAACAAATGGCCCCGGCTGCACTACGTCTGTGTCTGACGCAGGTACTGCCGCCACCGTGAGGTCAGTAGCTCAAGCTTTTGCCAAGTTCAACAGAAATGCTTTGTATTTCAAAGTAGAATTTCTGTTCACCTTTTTGAAAACCGAAAATGAATTGAAAAGTGCTCAGTTTATAAGCCACAGTGCGCTGTCACTGTCACTTTCACTGAGGCTGGCCTCGCTATCAGAAGACAAAGCAGTTGGTAAATCTGATAGCTCATCGGAGAACAAATCTAATATTTCTTGTTCTCCGAGAGAATGCTTCGCCTGCAACTGCTTTCGTCTCTGATCCATGTTGCACTGCTAACTTCCTGGTTCATACGTGGAAGCTTGGACTCGAACAAAGGCTTTTTTCTTTAGGGTGTGACAGGAAATGGGCGTGCTCATGTTACTGGCTAAGCTAGCAAACATTCCCGAGGTCAACTACGCATGATGCAACATGGCCACACAGCGAGCTATAGTCGGTTGCAACATAACGCGTCAGAAAAGGGCCAGTTGGCCCGCCCAGTCCGCAATGCAATAGAAACATAGAGGGCCAATTTGCCCCTCCGGTCCTGAATGTGTTAATTAGGATGTGACCACTTCCTTTCATATCCTTTCCAGTTCATTATTCACTAATGGTCTTGTCATTTGATGCCGTATTATCTTGTAAATTGAAAGCATTATTAAAATCAGGAACATACTATAAGTAAAATACATGTAATTCATATAGAATGATGGTCTGTGATTTGATAGATTTGCTGCTGTTAACAGGATTATTTTCTTTTTGTACTGTCCATTGCCTGAAGAAGATGTGAAACATTTTAGACATTGGCTGTCTCTCCATCATCAAGCAAAAGGAAAAGGTAGCTACTCATAGTAGTAAATATAGTACATCTTTGTATATAGTCAGTGGACAGTGCCAAAAGAGAAGGCTTTGTGATCTGTTAGCCGCGTTAATAGTTCCTGCAGAGTAAAGCACTCTTTCCTTTCTCCAGATAGTGGAGACAGAATGAGCCTATGAAACAATATGCTGCTGCAGGTGTCTTCCCTCCATCACCTGAGGATGGAAACAGGATGATGGACAAAGTCCAGAAACCCAGTAATTTCGATATACTTCTTGTCTAGCCAGGCAGTGGACATGGAAAATGGTCTTTAAAAGTTTCTTTGATTTTTCAGTATTTGAAACATTAATACATGCAATGTTTTTTTTTTTTGTACAGTTTGTGGTATCTGTTGAAAGTGAGATTGATGAAGGACTGTACAGCTTATATTTCCACAATTGTCCAAATTACAAAGATGGTTCTCCAGTGGTTCATAATTTTATGGTAAGTGTAGTTTGACTGCTGTAAATTTTAAAACATTATGAATCATTGTAAAGGAGTGGTAGAACATAGAAGTATATTTTACCAAACATTACAGTGCAGTGTTAGCATTTGTCTTTCCTGTTCAGGCGGTTTCTGATTTGAACCTCTTCTGGGAGAGCCTGTGTAGTTGATACAGTGTGATTAAGTAGACTAAAGAAAGGATGTATTACTCCCAAAATTATGAGTAAGTGTTTATTTTCTTGCAGTTGGAGATTGAAGAAAATAACAGTGGAAATTACTTGTCAGCTGGTGAGATGCCTCTTCCAGCCCTCTACTTCATGATGTCTCTCCTCTTTTTCCTCTCAGGCTGTTTCTGGCTATTCATTTTGCGCAAAAGCAAGTGAGTTCAACCTTTTTCTACAACTTGTAAACTTACTAGCTTTTAATAAGTATAGTGTATGTATGATTTGTGTTCCCATTCAAACTTCCCTTAGCTTTAAAGTTTGGATATTGTTGGAATTGTCTTAAAGTACTAATGTTTTATGCCTAAGGAGAAAAGTAATGATTTTCAGCCTACTTTCCTTATTTTATTTAGGAAGGAAGCGAGTGATCAGCTTTACGCTCTAACTGTAGTGGCAGAGTGTTTGGTATATATGTGGTAGGAAGCTGGTTGAACCTCATAACCCTTCTAGATGTGGTGGAAGGGAGAAAATGTACTTCCTCTGCTAGGTGTTGAACCTTGATCATGCAGCCCATAGCTTGTAGTTTTACTGCCAGTGTATTCCTGTGTTAACAGTCAAAACACTATTCAGCATCACACTTTCCATGACACACGCACATTCCCCCTCTCCCAACTCTAGTTGATTATGTTGTAACATGTATACCCATCGCTAGACAACAGTTCGGTAAACACATTTCCGAGGTACGCACTCAATAGTGGGACCTCCATTGCTGGTTACCAGGTCACTAGGCACATTTCATAGCAAGGGATAAAACACAAATAACGACAGAGTAATACACAAACTAGTTTGAGGTGGTGGTCTCTTGTTGGTTCACCCCCAGTTTTAAAAGAGAGTTCTTTTATGAATTAATTGATTCGCAAAAGATTTCAGTTCAGTCGCAAGTGATTCTTCATCTGTCACTAATCACAAGGGAAGAGAAGACACTCATAGTCCAGTAAGGAAGGGAGCAAGTCTTAAACAGTCATCGATTGTGAGCTGTTATAATTAATTGTAATTGTAATAAAAGTTTCAGTACATCCAATCCAGAACCCATTATTATTAGTCACACAAAACAAACACACGCACACACACACACACACACACACACACACACACACACATATATATATATATATATATTGATACATGTCTAACTGT